AAACTCTTACAATTTCCTAAGTGATAAGGGTACTAGAAGCACCTTTTGTTCTAATATTTGGTTTCTGACTCCAGTTCCTGATGCAGTGCTCCTGAAATCCTTACAATTTCCTTGGTGATAAAAGTGTCTTTTGTTCTATTGGACTTGTGGATGGCTTCTGGATAAGAGCTGGTCACCAGAAAGACCAAACCATGATTAGAAGCTTAGAATTTTCAGCTTGACTCCATCACCCCCCATAAAATCCCAATAGTACAGAGTTCAGGGAGCTTCCAGGTGGGTGAACACATCCACACCAGGAAGGTGACGCACCCTAACTCCACAGGGGCCCTGCACTTGGAGCCCTCCCATTCTTTGCCCTACATTCTCTCTTTATCTGGCGGTTCATTTGTATCTTCTATCATATCATTTAATAAACTGATAAAAGTAAGTGTATTCCTGAGTTCTGTGAGACATTCCAGCAAATTAATTGAACCTGGGGAGGGGTCATGGGAACCTCCAATTTGTAGCCAACTCAGACAGAAGTTGTGGGTTACCTGAGGACCCAGTACTCGTGATTAGCATCTAGAGTGGGGTGGGAATAGCCTTGTGGGACTGAGCCCTTACCCTGCGGCATCTATGCTATCTCCAGGTAGAGAGTGTCCGAACTGAGTTAAATTACAGGACCTCCAGCTGGTGTCAGAGAATTGCTTGGTGGGGGAGAAACCTCCACACATTTGGTGACCAGAAGTGTCAGAAGTCACGTTGTGTGTAAAAGTAAAGGAGACTCACAAGTGAAAGAAAGGCATAGTACAAAAGAACTGGGCTTTTCCCTATAGGAGGGAAAAGCTGGAGTTTTTTCTTTCCACATATGATACAGCAATCTCACTTCTGGTATATATCCAAAAGAATTCAAAACAGGATCTTGAAGACATATTTGCACATGGATTTTACCTATAGCATTATTCACAACAGCCAAGAAAATGGAAGCAACCCAAATGTCCAACAATGAATGAATGGATAAACAAAATGTGCCATATACATATAATGGAATATTATTCAGCTTTAAAAAAAGAAGGAAATCCTGTCACATGCTACAATATGAATGGACCTGAAAGACATGCTAAGTGAAATAAGCCAGTCACTATGATTCCACTTTTCTACGATAGTCCAACTCATAGTACTAGAAAGTAGAATGGGGGTTGCCAGGGGCTGCAAGGAAGAAATGGTGAGCTGGTGTATGATTCTCCTCATATGCGGAATCTAAAAAAGATGAATTCGTGGAAACACAGAGTAGAATGGGGGTTGCCAGGGTGTGGGGGAATAGGGAGATGTTGGCCAAGGGTACAAACTTACAGTTCTAAGATGAGTAAGTTCTGAGGATCTAATGTGCAGCATGGTTACTTACAGTTAATAATACTATATTATATGTTAGAAAGTTGCTAAGAGAAAAGGTCGTAAATATTCCCACCACACACGCAAAATGGTAATTATGAGGTGCTGGAAGTGTCATCTAACCTTATTGTGATAATCATTTCACAATATACACATGTATCAAATCTTCACCTTGCACATTAAACTTTTACAGTGTTATATGTCAATTATATCTCGATTATAAAGCTGGGGGAGAAAAAGAATCTTGCATAGACCATAAAGGAACCAGAATAAAATGTTGATGGATATATATGAAAAAAAAAGAGAGAGAGAAAGAATGGGTAGTTGGTGTTCAGTGGGTATAGAGATTCAATTTAGCAAGATGAGAAGGTTCTAGAGATTGGTTTCACAACAATGTAAATATATATTTAGCACTAATAAAACATACACTTAAAAATGGTTAAGTAATAAATTTTATATTTTTTACCACAACTTTAAAACTTAAAAAAAAATCACAGTATACATACAAAAGGCTGGTATAAAGTTGTAATCAAAACACATTCATCCCATTCTCCAGGTGATTCAATAATATGACATTCATGGCTTTTATCTAGTTTTATACTCTCCGAAGGTGTAACTGCAAGCTGAGTGGTCTTTTCTTCCTTGATGTCTTTGCAGGGATGAATATTACTGATCACTCCTGTTTTTTAAACATCCTCACCTGCTGACTTCTCTCACACAAATTTACTTATTCCCCACCTCTCTGCCATCTCCCTTTCTGTCAGCTTTGGGTGTTTTCCTTGGCACACCCCTTACATGTTACTTGCCCTACAGTCTGTCCTAAGTCCTCTTCCTTCTCTCTCTAAGCTGCTTTGTAAAGCTCATGACTTCAGTAACTGTCTCATGCAGATAACTTCTAAAACTTCATCATCAATTCTGACCTTTCTCCCAAACTCCAGTGCAATATTTTTTAAAACCTATGCAGGGACACCTGGGTGGCTCAGTTGGTTAAGCATCTGCCTTAGGCTCAGGTCATGATCTCAGGGTCCTGGGATCGAGCCCTGAGCCCTGTGCTGGGCTCCCTGCTCAGTGGGGAGTCTGCTTCTCCCTCTCCCTCACCTGTGCTCTCTCTCTCCCTCAAATAAAGAAATAAAAATTTTTTAAAAAGTATGCATATAAGTATATACATACATATCCTGCAGGTAGCTATAGAATTAGGTTTCAAGTCTGGTATTTTCTATCTCTGTAAAATCTCTCAAATCTGCACCTTGCTCTCCCTTTCAAGTAGATAAAAATATCATTATGTAATTCATTCATTCATCAAACATTTATTGAGATCTAATTAAATACCAAACGCTGTGCTGGGAACTGGAGACACAAGAATTCATAGCATAACCTCTGCTCTTAAAGAGCACACTTATGTGTATCTAAGTAATCACAATTGCTAGAGTCATCCTCACAAACCATTGTAGAGAAACAGATTATACATCTGCTTGCTTCCGCCAAACAAATTTGAATGAAACTGATATGAGCCACTCCCAAACAGAGGCATATCCTAATTGAAATGTATTTGGTAGACAAATTCCCTAGTCTGATAGTTAAGGGCCTAAAAATATAGCTCCTACTTACTTTTCCAGTTTCATCTCAACCAAACCCTACCCATTAAGCTAGTGATTCCCCAATTGTTATTAAGTGCTATTGAAGGAAAAACAAGGAGAGGGTTTTGGTCAGGTGAGAATGGAAAATGTGCTTTGAAACAAAGTTAAATAGACCTCTTTGTTGCAGGGCTTCTTAGAACCTTTAATATGTTAATGTGTTTTGCAAAATTCCTGGAGGAGAATTTATCAGGCAGTTTTTCCCAACCCTGCTGTTCTAACCCCCTCAGACTGCTCACCATTGTTGGTACATGGTCAACTTCCCTACCGCCATTTCTTTGTTCATACTCTTCCTCCAACCCCAAGTCCACATGTCCAAGTCACATCCTTCTTTCAAGACCCACCACAAATGCCCTCATTCCAGAAAGCTTTTCCTATTTTTTCCTTCACAAAGCAGTCTTTTTCCCCTTTGAGCTTCTACTGTCTCACTCAAATTCAGCCTCCATATTGTTTCCAGTGATTTTTGCAAACGCAAACGTATTACACCATTCACCTATTTTCAAGAGCACCACATGCCACCCCTGCCCCAGCTTTCAGGAAACAAAATCAATTATAGGCCATCATAGTCCAGACCCGTCCTGTGTTTCTAGCCTCATCTCCCATAACATATATTCCTTTTAGCTATAAAAGACTACTTTCAACTCCCCAAAGATTTTATGCTATATCATATTGCCATCATTTATACATTCAGTTTCCTCTACCTCATTACTCTCTGTCCAGCTAATTCCTTGTCTTTCCAAACTGAATTCAACCATCACCTCTCTCAAGGAGGCATCCCCGATCTAATTTAGATATCTTTCCTTTGTGCTTCCATAATACCCTAAGACAGCAGTTCTCAATCAGATGGGATTTTGCCCCGCTGGGCGTTACATGAAGAGGTCTAGAGGCATTTTTTATTATCACAATCGGTGAGGGTCACATGAGGATGGGGAGTGCTACTGGCATCTCGTGAGTAGAGGTGAGAGACAGTGGTAAGCATCCTCCGGTGCACAGCACAGGCCTCCACAACAAAATGTCAGTAGCACCCAGGTTAAGAAACCTTGCTGTAAGCACACCATTGTGGTTAATGCATCACCACATAAACGCTGATTTAGTTCTTCAGCTCCCACACTGGACTGCAAGTTCCTAGGACGACAGTATTCACTATTGTTAATAATGTTAATACCCAGCATTCACGGGGCACTTACTGTATGTCACTCACTGTTCTTTTTTTTAAAGATTTTATTTATTTGACAGAGAGAGACACAGTGAGAGAGGGAACACAAGCAGGGGCAGAGGGAGAGGGAGAACAGGCTTCCCGCGGAGCAGGGAGCCCGATGCGGGGCTCGATCCCAGGACTCTGGGATCATGACCTGAGCCGAAGGCAGACGCTTAACGACTGAGCCACCCAGGCGCCCCTCACTCACTGTTCTAAACAATGATCATGTACAATCTCACGTAATCCTCAGGGACAACTGTGAGTGGGTACTATTCTTTTCCCTGTTCTGCAGACTCCCTGAGGTCACACAGCACATGAATAGTGGAGCTAGGAACGACCTGATTTCATAACCCACACTCTTGAAAACTATTCCATTTTCCTGCCAGGATATTTCTATCAAACAAGAACAACACTTTCTTTTTATGGAAGTCAACTCTTTCTTCTGGACATCACTTATGACACTTTTTAATTACCAGTGCCAAGAGCCCCAACCTCTCAGCACTTGTGACATTTTAAAATGAGTGGTTCTTTGTTGCAGGGGGCTGTCCTGTGCATGGTAGGAAGTTCACCGGCATCCCCGGCCTCTACTCACTACATGTCTGTAGCTCCACCACCTCCCAGGACCTGCCTGTCATGACAATAACTAAATGTCTCAAGACACTGCCAAACGTCCCCTGGGGGAAAAAGCGCTACTGATCTCAGGAACGTGTCTGTGGAATTAATTAATGAATTCAACTTTAATATAATAATTGAAAGTAAAAATCTGCTCAAAGATTAAGAAAGAAAGAATAATTTACCTTTTCAGCTAATTCTTCTGCTGTTATCTTTGGATCATAGGGGATAGGATCACCTAAATAGGTGCGTAATTTCACTGGAAAACCGCCATACATTGGAGCAAACGGATAGCGGAATTTTTCATAAAGCCACCTAAATAACCCTGTTTTAAAGCAAACAAAATTATTTTAATTGGTTAAATATTCTGAGCAACTGTAAACTTTCAAATTAATAATTAATAATGTAAGACTTAGAAGAAGATAGCAAACAGTATCATCTCCTGGCAATTAATACAATACGTTTTTTTTTAAAGATGAGCTTTTCATCAATTCTAACGAATGTAGCACATTAATGTAAGATGTTAATATGAGAAGCTGGAGGGTGGTGAGAAGCTTTATGAGTACTCTTTGTACTTCCACTCAATTTTTCTGTAAAGCTAAAAATGACCCCCAAAATAAGGTTTATTAATTTTTTTAAAAATGAGCTTTCAAACATATGAGAATTTTAAAAGGCAAACCAATTACTATTATTACAAAGCCATGGGTAAAGACTGCAACCAAAAGCTAGAAGCTAAAAAGTCTAGAGACTCACAAATAAAGACTTATATGAATAAAAGAAAAAAAATAAAAGCGTAAGATAAATTCACATAAACATGAAACTAAAATGCATCAATAAATAGGTAAAGAAAAAAACATTATTGTAAATTAAGAAAAATGCAGAGTAGCAAAGAATCACTAATGCTAATGACCAAGTATGAAATTTAGCAAGATTAAAAGCAGTAATAATGTAAAATAAACTGGAGGATTAAGTAAAAAAAGAAAGTCAAAAAGCTGTCAACAGTAATTTTTAAACCACTTTATGATTAAAGAAACAAAATTAGGAATAATTTCTGTTATGCAACTTAAATTCTGAAGAAATAACCTGAGAGAAAATTAAAAGAAATAATTCTACAGCAACAGCTAAACCTCACATCAATCTGCCTTTCCACCTTAAATTTGAAAAAAAAAGGGAAAAAATGTTAACACCTAAAAAAAGTAATAGAATATCAACAACATACCAACATTACACATAAAAGAAACAACAGAAGTTTAAAGTTTTTTAGGAGAGGATCTGTATGTGGATAGGAACAATATAGTGCTAGGGATATAAAATATAGTCAATCAAATATATAAACCATAGGGTATAAAAACAAACTGAAAATTTCAAAATAAAAAGAAAACAACAGAGGAATTGCAAAGAAAAAGCACTTCTAATCGTTATCACTCCTATAACTACACTCAAAGCTTATTTTGTTACCCATAAATTAAAGTTAGGCAAAAAGAACTTTACAATATAAATGTATCATGGTTCAAAATATTTAAAAAGCAAAAAACAAGAAGTAACAGAAATGAACCAAAGCAGACATCCTTAGGTTGTTAATCTTAATTCAGTATCATATTGTCATCCATTTTTAAAGCTGTAACTTCTTCAGCAGTGAGTTAGGAAGATAGTCTGGGCAATGGGTACATTTGTTCTAAACCTCAACAGCGTGGTTCAACCAAGGAAATTAGATAACTCACTCTGTAATTTTAAGAAGCCCATGAAACAAATAAGCTTCAGTATGTATACGAGACTCTTAATAAAAATCTAACATCTCAGAACTGCCATTACTTAGAATCAGTTATCATTTAGACTTTAAATAGAAAAACATCTAAATAATATATCCATTATCTAAAGTAGTAATTCAAAAGAATTTCTTAGAGTGTTCAAAAGCCGAAGTATTTCATTCTAAATATTACATTATAATTAGAAAAACTGTATGAATCAGAACTTACTTGTTCCTCCAAGTGATCTAAATCCTTCTCGAATATTTTGTGTAAACATAGGAATAATGGGCTAGAGAGAGAATTTGAATTAAAAAGTAAATATATTGATCCATTCAATATCTCCACTGAGTCAATAATGCAAAATTTTGAGGGCCTGTTCAAGATTATGAGAATGAGGTATTTTTAAAATAAAGGTATACTTTTATTACCAGTGTGATTTATCAGACTAAATTTAACTTGATCATCTGTAAAAACAAAAATTAGAAACACTACCCTCTAGTGGTAATACATAATATTTCATTTACCAACTTTCCTACCTTCCACATAAACTCTTGACACTCAAAATAAAAGATTGCAGTAATCATTAATTTCATTAAATAAAATTAATGTGGTAAATTAAATTGATTTTGGTGGCCCACTGAATAGTGTGCTCACTGGAGAAAAAGTTACAAGGTAGATATTCCCTCTATGGGGAAATTTATATAAATTTAAATGACAGGTTTTGGCAAGATGCTGTCACGGAACTACGGAAACACTATTTTTTTGTGTGTGAGATTATTAAATCTAAAAATTTTGAACATCAATGAAAAGCATAAGACTGCAAAAAAAAAGGAAAATATATAAAACAATTCCTTTTATCATTGATTTTAGAGGATTTCTGCTCACAAGTTCATGGTTTTTATTATTCCATGAATATCTGTGATTAAGTATGATTTTTTAAATGGAGACCTTAATTAAATGTCCTAAAACAATGATGAAGTAGCAAAGGATCATGTAAGGAGGTTCCACCATGGTGAAACTGAAGTAGATAAAAAATTGAATAAAAACACTTTAAAATGCACATAAAATACATTGAATTAAACGATGTTTTAGAATTTAGAAAACTGAGTATCACTTTACTTACATTCTACCATCAGTATTTGTCTAATACAGAGTTATCTGCCTTAGTGAACAGGGTTGGAGATATTTAAATAAGCTGACATTTAAAAAGCCATTCTTACTCAGCTGTGGAAAACAGTAAAATATGGTGGACTGAAGGAAAGGGACTACAGGTATAGCTTTCTTCATAAAACTTATTACCTCACACAGAACTACTGATCATTTATTTAGTGTATTTCTCCCCTCTCCAGAAGGAAGACCTCTAACAGCAGAGACATTGTTTTGTTTACTGCTGTATCCCCAGCACCTGAATAGTGCCTGGAACAGACTAGGTGCTGAAACAAAGTGTGATGGATGAATTAAAGAAGGAATGAAGACACAGGACAGAGAGACAATGCACATAATGAAGTAGTTTGTATTCTCTGAATATAAAGTGTCAGAAACAGGCAGCCGCAATCTTAAAACCAGTTTGGAAAAAAGAAGTCAGGTAAAGAAAGGCACTCTGATGGAAGAATTTAAAGTTTCATGGTGTTAATTCACAAAGCTAAAACAGAAAACACTGACTCTTTCGTACAAAATTCAGATTATGATCTAGGAAACCACCACTAGTTTTACGAAATAGTGACTGCTGACATCGTAATGTTTTAAAGAGTTATAAAATGTCTTTAGAGTTGAGAACATAAAATGCCCAAAAAGAACCAGAAACCTTTCAGCTCATATATATACCCTTCGTCTTCTCTGACCAGTACTGCTGGATTTATGTCTGACTGGCATGAACCCCTAGGTTCATACTGAAGCATGCACTTTATAAAGACTCTTCAGGGTACATACCACCCTTTAAATAGCTTACTCTCCAGAAGCTCGATATATCTAGAACCTACTAAATAGGAAAATGCTTACCCTAGCAGGCTCAGTATTCCAGGCTAGAGTCTGGGCATATGGTTTCTAAATTTGCATTCAAGCTAACAGCCTTAAAGCTATAAGCATTACTTTATTACAACTTGATACTGTAGTACAATTATCCATTCCTTTCCTTGTACACCTTTTGCATATAAGGTATTAGCATAAGTAACCTAGATTAAATTGTTTGCATGTATACATGTGTCTCCTTATGTACGTGTGTGCACATGTGTGCAAGAGAAAGAGAATGTGTATTTTGTTGAAACTATTCTTGGGGAATTAGTTTAATATGGTCTTAGAGTCTAAACTTTGCCCCTAAAAATAAGTGAGCACCAATGGACAAGTTACTTACCATGTCTATGCTTCAGGTTCTTCATGTATAAAGTGGGAATAATAATAATTATACTATCTCAAAGGTTATTTTATGGATTGATATAATACATATAAACAATTTTATTAAAACAAATGTTGGGGCGCCTGGGTGGCTCAGTCATTAAGCGTCTGCCTTTGGCTCAGGTCATGATCCCAGGGTTCTGGGATCAAGCCCC